TGGTGTAAATTCTCAACAGTCTCATACTTCTGTTTAATAAGTTTTCTGTTTGACGTTTAGTCAGCTGTGTGAAAACCAAGGAGGAACCCACCCGGGGGATTAATAAAGTTTTATTTTATCTAATCTAATAACTTTAATCTCAGCCAAACCGATTTACTCACGAACAAACAAAACACTGAAAAAAGCCCAACAATAACATTTTTAGGTTGTCTAAGTGACTTATATATTACGTTTAACCCGAGCAGCGAAACTCCGCGGTGATCTGAAAATGATGTGCCGGGAGTTGTGCCGTTCTCGGCCGCATCAGTAACCCTCGAGCTTCCGGCTAGCTGTCGAGCTAGCCGGAGGGTAGCAGACGCCTCTGAAAACGTCGAAGCACTTTTGCAAATATGGGATATCTTGATAAACCGAGCAGATATTTGATGTTTACACAGCTACTTTCTCGCCTGAAAATATGTTAAAAGTTTATTTTGTGACCCAGAAAGATTAGTATGAGTAATTTTAAAACTTAGTAGCGGCCGCCATTGCTGGAAGCTGGAGTTTGGCTGGGCCGCGCTATGAATTCTGGGATATGGTAGTAATTTGGACAGCCTTCGGCGCGTCGCTGTGACGTAATCGGTCTACAAATGCGGCCTCAGGAGGATGCAGCCCATGAATTTGGACATGTCCAGAGTATAATCGCAGCCTTTGCGGTTAGAAAATTGCACTTGATCATGTCGCGATATTATCGCAAATGCGATATATCGTTCAGCCCTACTCTAACCTCACATCCTTTCATAGCCTTTACTTCTCTTATTTGCTCAAGTTTCTTGCCCTCAGGCGGTCAAAGATACCGTGTTGCCCGATGCTGCTTCAAATGAATGCATGCGACAGCAGAAGCAGTAGAGAAGTGAACTTGGGACACTGATTCGCATGTCTGAACACAGACAGGAACTTATGTAACACTGGCTGTGCCCTCTGTAAAAAAAAAAAAAAAAAAAGTCTGCTCCTTTCACTCTTCTTGTTTCCTTCTTCCTCCTTCTCCTCTTGATGCACCCTCCCCTGCCACCCACCCCCACTCTATTCAGTGTTCGTGTCACCCGGCAACTCGCCATATCCATCAAGGAGACCCGATCAATAGGCGCTGGCCTTTCTTCCCCATCCACCTCGCAGAAGCGCACAAGTGGTCTTATTGCTTATGTAACGATTGACTTATCGGGTCATTTGGCTGCCTACTTTGCTACTGTTCGCCAATTGGGGCCAGGGAGGGGGCATTGACTGTTTACGGATACATGTGAGAACGTCTGATTTGGGAGAAAGGGGGTAATGGTGAGCAATGGGTGGCAGCGTGAAGACCAGACTGCGGGTCTGAGGGCAGGAATCCAAGAGAAGGCAGGCAGTTTGAATGTCGAGGGGAGGTAGATGAAGAAGGCAGGCGCAGCGAACGATTAGCATGCTCGCCAAAATCCAATTAGACACCGCCCAAGAGAAAGACTGACAAGCAGACAGACAAACAGCCCAGGAGACAGCCAGAGAGTGCAGCTGCACCGGTCTGCGGTAATGAAGTCACTGGTTTCCAAATAGCAAATAGAGGAAGCCAGAAAGATGCAGCTGTCTGCCGTCTGTGCCGCAGCCACTGTGTCAACCCGGCCAGGGAGACAGACAGAGGAAGGCTGTTCTCTCCGTCTGACACTTCTGACTCGGGGCCAGCACAACGCTACAAACAAGGCTGGGGCAAAAAAAAAGGAAAAGCAGCAAACTGCTACACCCACCATGTTGGGGCTGCTCATTAGCGTTAGGAGACAAGCCCAAAATATCAAATCAGATTGCTTCTGCTCTTTCCTCTCTCGCTTATAGTGTAAAAAAACTTTTTAGTAGCATGAGCTTATTTACACAATACATTTGAAAATGGCTTTAAAAATATGAGGAACCATTTTCAGTCTAAAGAATGAGCGTCTGTAACAAACCCTGAGGTCAAAATGAAATCATTGTCTGTCGAATACTAAAGTGACTCCGGTGATAAGGTTTCAGCTTGTTGCTGTGCGTGTTGGTTGTGTCTAGTAAACTGTTTACACAGCAGGGATCAGTAGACAGGCTAGCACTGCCTCCAGGCACAAAGCGCCTTTATGGAGCGCAGGTCCTGGAGTTTTTAACTGCACCTTTTTAAGCCAAACAGTCCGAGCAGGATTTGGGACTGGGGGGGGATTCCAGAAAGCTCCCCTCTTGTTTTCTATGAGGTCCCAGAAATCTCTGTTAAAACTGCTTGTAAATGTGCACATTGACACTGTGTGTAAATAAGGGACATTTGGTAACAGTATACATTTGGGGTTAGACCAACACGCACGAAGGCGAGCCATCTTTCTAAAAAGAAGACTCAACTATGAGCTTGCCTGCCTGGCCGTCCACCAACTGGGATGTGGAAACTATGAGTCACGCAGCCAGTGCGGTGGAGGCGGCTGGACACAGAGAGTCTGGAGGATGTTCAGGGTGAGAGACACGTCTGTCTGTTTCGCTTCCTGTTCAGTTAACGCACACTTTCATTACAGGAATACACAAACAGAGAGTGGCTGAATGTGAAGGGAGAGCCCCTGTGTCCTGACTTCAGTACGAGGTCATCGTGTTCCTCCGGTCACTGACCTTTCACACACTCGTAAATCTGTTCAGGAGGGAGTGGTGTGAAGCTTATACTGGCATCCTCTATCAAGTCACCTGCTTCCTGGACACTCTCATGCAAACATCTTTCCAGGAATTTTAGCCATTTGTGACTTTGTCTGTCTCTGTCAACACCAGCATAACTGTTACATAAAATTTCACCACTGCTGTTAACCCTGCAAAAACCATTTCCACTGAAACCAAAACCCCACAAACACCATGTTCTGGTGTTTGTGGGGTTTTAACTAGAAGAAGAAAATGAGAGAGAGAAAAAAAAAAAAAAAAAAAAAAAAAACTTTGACTGAGAAAAAAATTAATTAAAAAAAAAAAATCACCACCTCACAGAGGAGACAGCACCTGAAACTGTGGTGAGACACATGCTCCAGAGGGCCTGGCAATGTGTGAGTGTGTGAGACAGAGAAACAAAGATGTGTCATACTGGCCTACACACACACAGGCAATGTGTCTCACACATAAACACACACACCACTGATACTGCGGGACTCATCAGCCCCCTCGACTTTAGGTACATGGTGCAGTAGTTTGTGCGCTAGTTTCCCTCTGAGCTACAAAAATGTCTCTGGCTTTCAGAAAGAACGTCTGTGGCTTCCAACATGCATACCGGCTGGGAAGAAGCGAGACAGGAATGTGGTCAGGACGCTGGGCGAGACGGTAGATGCTATTTCCGATGCATTCGCAAAAGGCAAATAATTCCTCTGTCTCGCACACATAAGTTGTGTGTCTTGAGCTGTACAAACCTCACACTCTGCACAAACTCTGCTCAGTCTTGCATGCAACCAGCTGCCAAGTAGTGACATATAAATCCTGACAATGACAGCTAACTTCACCAAAAACATGCATATAGATTTGCGTGTGAGCTAACCAGCCATTCACCCAGAATACAGTGCAAACCGGGGTAGTCCGCTGTGGTCACAGAGAGGTCATGAGACGACATAAACCAGTTAATAGCAGTGAAACGAGCTGGAGTTTCTCCCCCTCCTCCTCTTCTAAACACTGACCTTTCAATAGGATCGCTGCCCTTGTGGCTTCTATATTGCACTGGCATTATTTTTTTTTCTACACAGCAACTTAAAATAAAAAATACATAGGAGCAGTTTAAAAAAATAAAAAAATAAAAAAAAATAAAAAATCACAATCAAATCAAATATAAACCCATTCCAAAGTGCTGGGAGTGACTAAATAAAGCTAAGTGGTCTGCTGAAAGTTAAAATAAGATAAATTTCTTTTAATAAATGTTGCCAGTCAAAACTATAACGGAAACTAAGCTTCAATTAACTGCACAGCCCTGCTTAACATCGGTTGATGTTCCACTACTGAAAGTGTGGCTTTCAGTACGTGTAGACTGTTCCAACATTCATTTTTTTAAACCAGCCAAAAAGCTCCTAAGCTGTGAACGGCACGAGATTTCCTTTCCATCAGCCATTATCTCAGACTGTGCTGAAAGAATGGAGATGAAGTAAACCTGGGTAAACTGGCCAGTTATTAGTCAGTAAAAAAGGGACCAGGTTATTTCCTTTTTAACTCTGTTTAGCTACAGTTAGTTTCCAGTGTGGGCTTCCCTGTTTCAGTTTAGTTTTTAATAGTTGAAAATGTTAGGTTTCAGTTTAGATTTTATTCATTTTACTAGTTAGGTTTATAAAAATGGAGGGCTTTTGCCATGGGCATCTCTCTCAGAAGTACAGATTAGATATTACAATATGAATAAAGCACTTTTTGAAGGCAGCTGACTCGGTCCCATAGACATGTACCCTCATACAGGTAGGTTCCGATACCAAATTTGACTAAACAATAATTCAAACTAAACATTTCCTCTACAGTTAGTTGTAAGTGCAATATTGTGTCACTTAGTTTTCTTTCTTTTCCCTTTAAAAGTCTTTGTTGGCTATAATAACCTTGGTGCTGACAGATAACTCCAGTACCAGAGTTTCAGGGTTGCTTCCTGAGCCTCGCATATTGGCCTTTTGTTCAGTGACATTCCCACCGACCTCCAGGTGACCCGGGGGGACAAATGATGCACTTCCCCTTCATCTGTGGCCAGCTGGCCTAACTTCGTCTGATCAGACCTGCCCAGGCAGATGTCACCACCTGTCCCAGGCCTCAGACACACACACTAGGTCAACACTGGTTTAAGAAAACACCAGCCATTTTATTCAAATGAGCCCTACACACAAAACACAAGTCTGGAAGAGGGCAGGACAGAGGACGTGTCAGCTAGACAAACAAATATGGAGACTTTAATTCAAGAGAAAAGCTTTCACCGGTCAAACAGCAGAATGGTGATGAATGAGGATTTATAGCAAGCAAAGACACACTCGGCTTACACGGGTATCACTAACAGGTGCACTTACTTTGTCTAGCGACCTCTTGAGCTGATAGTGGAACTTCTCTTTGACCTCGTCCAGCAGCTGCTTGAGTCTGGGCTCCTCCGGGGTCCCCTGGTACTTTCTGGCAAGCTGCAGGTAGCAGGGCCACTTGGCTGAGTCAAAGCCCCAGTGGCAGGTCCTCTTATCAGGTGACTTGTGCGAATGCATGACAAACTTCTGCGGTGAAAAGAGCAACTGGCACTCCACACACTGGATGCAGGGCACCTCGGGCTGGGTGTAGAACTGGGGCACAAAGAGACCCTGGCACTTCCCCAGACACTGGTGCTCCACCTGGAAGCTGGCTTCACTCTCCTTCAGGAGGCCCTGGGCTGACAGCTTACCGCTGGGGTCAGCAGGCAGGGCTGCACCAGGACGCAGCAGAGCGTTGCAGAGCCGCTGTGCATCCGTCAGTGTAATGAGGCCACAGGAAGGCGCGTTGAACGGCAGAATGCCCAGCACCTTTAGGATGTGCAGCTGCTCGGCGTCACAGCGAGAGCAGTAGACGTACAGCTCGTCGCACACGGTGTTGATCTGCTGCAGTGAGAAGTCGCGGAGCACGGAGTTGAGCACCTGGGGCAGGCAGAGCCGCTTCTCGCCCCCAACAACGAAGCAGGAGATGGACTCTCCCTCCAGCAGGGAGTGGGTGAGTTCAGTAGAGCTGTCGCAAGGAACCAGCAAAGGGCCCCCTCCCAAAACAGGAGGGGAGGGCAGGGGGGGCATGCCGGCCTGGGAATGCTCATGGCCCGTACGTGCAGAGAAGGCAGCCGGGCCCCCGAGGGAGCTCTGACTGCTGAGGGTGAACTGGGCCAGTGTGTGTTTAAGCCCAGGGCTCAGGTCCAGGGCTTTAGTAGAGCCCATAATGTGCAGTTCAGCCCGGCCTTCCATGTCCATGTCACAGTCGGGGCGTGGGTCCTCAGTCTGCTCCCTCTTCACCTTGGGAGTTTTGGGGAGGGAGGGCAGGGAGTCCAAGCTGCGACGCTTCAGGTTGATCTCCGCCATCACGCGCTTCTTGATGGGCGCGTCTTCCAGCCGCTCTCTGTACAGCCGTTTCATGTTGCCCTTGAATGAGGTCAAGTCTTTGAAAGGGGTTTTCAGGCTGGTCTGGGTGCTGGCCATATCTAAGCACAGGGTTATTGTCGTTTCTGCGAGCTGACCAAGTTCTCGTATTCCTCTGGGTCTCTTTTCCTCCTTAACTCTTCTCAAATCTTCTGGCGATGAGACACATGCATGATCGTTACTGAAGATTTCTATCGTCTGATCTGTTCCCTGAGCATGAAAACACAAGGAAAAAAATAGAAATAAAAAATTTATCAGTCTTTTCTACCTTTCCTGTAGACAGATGAACAAATAAAAAAAATATCTGGAGCATTAAAGGTTTAATGGTGTCCCTGCGGGGTTGTTGAACAAGTCATCGGCTGTCAGCTTGGCCCGCTATACCAAATGGCCATTACCATACTTCACACAAACACGGGGGTTTTCTTCTTGGCTCTTGTAATTGAACCCCAGAGGAAGAAATTTGCATCCACCAAAGGTTCAAACGAGAAAACTTCTCAGCGCTGAGTGAGAATTTTAACAAGCCAAACCAGTTGACCACACAAGACAAACAGAAATCCTCCTCCACCACCACAACCACCATACCTTTACCCCCCTCTCCCCCGTCATTACATTGTTAATGAGCGGCTGATCCACAATGCTCAAAAGCATTTCACTTTGCAAATGAAAGTGCCCTTCCCAGCCATATTGTACGCTCCCGTAGGTGTGCTTACCCCACGCTGACCCCATCAACTCCGTGAAAAACAACTGATAAAAGCGTTAACAGCAGTCATCCCCTTCCCTCAATCCTCTCACAGCTTGACATTCAGCACTATGGAAACCGATGTCCCCCCAATCTCTCTCTCCCTCCGTCTCCCTTTTTTGTTTTTAACTCTCGGATTTTACTAATAAGGTAAACACCGAGCGGCTTTACCGAATTTAAAACGCCTTGTAGTTGGTAATGGCTGCATTATGGTGCTGCAATATGACAGCAAGAGACAGCAGATTCCATGCACTTCGGCTCTGATGATACGCTTTCTGGTGTGGTAACGAAATGCTCTTTCTCTATATATACACGCATAGAGAAACACACACACGCACGCACGCACACACGCCAAACGGAATTTTTGGCTTGTCAAAAAGGTAAACAGGCAGACTCTGTTAATTAACCACAAGACATGGTTTTGCATGCTTCTGCAAATTTTAGCATCCCGACGTTTTCTCTTTTTTTCCACCGACTGACGAGAAGAAGAAAAAAAGCTGTCGCGGTGCAAAACCTCTGAAACGGGTGGATGTTTGTGGGCGTAATAATGGCAAATACCACCGTGGGCCGATTGGCAAAAACAGCCATAAACACGGCAAAATTCAAATCAGTGGCTGACATAAAGGAGCGTTTGCCCCGATTTTTCTCGTGTGTTTTTTTTTTAAACAAATCTATCTCGGTTTGCTTCCCCCAAGACACACACCGTCTTTTCTCGCGCAGCCTCTCGCCCGAGCTGGACTTATTCACGTCACCCGCACTACTTCTTAGTACCCTTTTTTTTGGTGCAAGGACACCGCGTATAACGCCAACTATCCCCCTCCTCCTCCTCCTCCAGTCTGCAGCCTCTACCTCGCCTCCTCTGCTGGCTCGGCACTGGTATGCAGACAGTGCTGATAATGACATTCACTGTCTGCGATACAGTCTGCTGTGGTGAAGGCACCGCGGTTGGGCATTTATGCGCACACGCCGATTTTGGTGAGGGCATGGTGAGGTTTAAACCCGTGGCAATCTCCCCTCTCCAATCCCCCCCAAACACAGGTAGAACACTTGTCACTAAGGGTCAAAACACTTGCAATAGGTGTTTAATATTAAATATATGAGTGCTAGATTATTTAAAATAAGAATATGTTCTGAGTGTAAAAAATGTGCGCATTTGACTGGAAACCCGCTGAGAAGCAGCTCTCGGGTCCTTTAACACTAAATCATCATAGCGCTAGCTAGCCCGACCACCCCAGTCAGCCTTGCTCGGATACAGCCGCTCGTATAGCAGTCTGAACAGCTCAGAGGGCTGTGAAGCAGGCTAACCCAGCTCCCGTGAGTACAGACGGGCTCACTTTTGCCCAGTTCCCTCCCCCAGCAGCAATAACAACCAGAGTAAAGCAGGCAGAACCGACTTCAGCGCTCATATACATTGTAAGCATTGACCGCGACCGTTGGGGGGATAAACAGCCACCATATTAAGGCAGGCTAACCCCGCGCAGAGACTAATAAAGCAGGCTTACCGAGAGCACGGGAAGCGTTAACATCACGACTGGCTAACCCCAGATAGACACCGATACGGCAGGCTAAAGCAGATTAGCTTCGCTCCCCTTCACTCCGCTACTCACTGTCGGCCAAACGCAGGAATTCAACCATAATCGTTAATCACCGGCTCGGATTCGCTACTAACAAACCAACCTCCCGTCCCTCCTTAACGGGCCCGTTTAACCGGCTCCGTCCTTTGAAACGGCGAGCACTTGCCTGGACGCTGTGTATCGGCCGTCCTCACTATCCCGGGGTCCTCTCAGTACTGGAAAAGCCTGGCGGAGCGTCAACAAAATGCAGCTAGAGGCTCCACTACAGCGCCGTAACGTCACGCTGCACACGGCCGAGAGGCGGAGACGTCACCCGGCTGACGGAAACTATGCGGGGGTGTCTCTCGCCTGTCTCTCCTCCTGTCTGTCGGCTCGCGTGTCTGTCTGTCTCACACAGTCTGTGAGGTTTGTTTCCTTCAGGAGCAGGTAACGCTGCAGAGGCGGCCCCAGCTTTTTTAAAAGGGGGGCGTAAGAGCCGGCGGGGGGAGGGGGCAAATCTAACAAACAACTTGAAAAACACCCCCCATACAGATGTGTTAAATACATCCTTTTGTTAAAGAATATTAACAGGTCTGTTCAGTGTATTTAAAAAAAAGGAAAAAAGAAAGAAAAACTTGTACAACTGTTTTACAAAGTGACTAAACAAGTATTTAGACTGTGAGGTCATATCAGAAATGGCACTAATCTTAACTCCATGTTATCGCCATGTGTAATTATTTATTTTTTTAATTGTTTTTCCAAGTCTTCCTGACATGGGGCAGTTTTCCAATTTTACTGTACTATTGTACTATGTATGACTGTGCAATGACAATAAAGAGTTATCTCATCTTACGTAACGCCAGTGCACTTGTTTTCAGAATCATATACGTTATTATATTGAATCATCTATATTAATTAATTAATGCTCATTTCACTTTATTGCTGCAGCTCGAGATCATCTTAATAACTAATGTATTATTATGTATTATTATAAATATTAATATTAATAACAATAATAGAGCTCAATGGAGCAGCTCTGTGGCCTGATACAGATGTAATACATATAAGGCAAGGCTGTACAAGAGTTTAAGCATCCTTTTGTACTGAATAACTTGAATAACTGTGGTGAGCATTTATACCCTCTGAGGTATCTTTTGTATAATTTAAAATAATCCAAAGCCATCAATGAAGTAGCTACCATTGACTATAAATACAACCTCAGTCTTTTAAATGCCTAAAATATAATACCATTATTTTGAAAAGGAAGAAAATGTTACACACTAAATAAGAGAAATTATTTTAATACATATTTCTTTATTGTATTTTACTATAAGCCTTATTATAACTATTTGAAAGGGTATGGGAAACTTTTTTTAAAAGGAAACTGGAGTTTATATATCTTGATGCATTCTCAATCATCCAGGTAAGTAAATCTCCAAAGGCTGATTTTGTTCATCTGGACGTGAAAACGCTACTTCCAGATGAACAGAGTCAACCTTTGGAGATGGAGCTTATATATTTTTTAAAGGGTCAGCTTTATTTGTTATATAATGTAAGACATGCTAGTTTGTTATTTCTTCAGAAATTACACAGGGTTTTCTTTTATTTATTTATTTTTTTCTTGAGTTATATGGATTGCCATGTTTGGATTTAAAGTAAGATTTTTTTTCTGCAGTTCCCTGGTTTGACTAACATATATTGCACCAAGTAGACTGAAAGCATAGCCTGTATATAAATGATGGACATAGTCACTCTGCTGCCTTTCACTATTTGGGGAAATTTCATTATGAGTTTATGAGTTCAGCATTTTCATCACCACCTTGTTCCTTTGAAATTAGATGTGGTGAGAGAGGGATAGATGCAACTGTGAAACCACCCCCTTGTTTGCTAATTAGCATATCCTCAACAATCATACTTACAATTCAAAATAAGGATGACCAGTCTACAACAGTTCAGAGCAAAAAGACCTGAGGACAATTTTCACATAGACTTCTATATAATTGGAACTTGGGATCATTACCTGCTAGCTATAACGCTACAATCATGTTTCATACTATGTATGAGCTGATCTGTGCTGGACTACTATGTAAAACCAAAAACTTGGTGACAGTTGGAAGAAAAAACCCTCTTTTAACAGAACAGAAAGAAATACTCAATTCTGGCTTTCAAATGTCAATGCCTCTTGATTATCTAAGAAGAATATTAAAACGTAAACAGCAGGATAGCTCTAAACACATCTCAACACACCAAGTGGCAAAACGCTGCCTCCTGGATGTGAAAGTCTTAATTAAATTTTATGGAAGGTAATTATAAAATGTAACTTTAAGTAAAAGCCATAATTGGATGCCGGATTGGAGTCTTTGCTAGGCCTGTTCTGGCCCTCGAGCCTTATGTTTGACCCCTCTGAGCTAGACAATTGAAACTTGGACACAGTTGGGTGTTCCAGTAGGACGATAATCTAAAACACACATAAAAACCAGTTTTTAAATGGATGAAAGAGACTCAAATTTAACATCAACCATATTGAAGATTTGTTGACTACGTGTAAGAGCAACTGTAAGATTACAGGAAGCCAACAAATTTAAATTAATTCTAGCAATTCTGCCAAGAAGAGTGGTCAAATATCCAGCCGGAATTATCCCAGAAGCTTGTTGATGGCAACCGAAAGCCTCTGATCGAGGTCACACGTACTACGGGACATTTAAACAAGCATTACCACAACTTTAAGTCAAGAGTAGCAAAGCCAAAACTTTTCAGGATGACTTTCCTGTAGAAAATCAGTTCAAAAATTCTGTGCGGACATCTTTAAATGTCTTGCTTTTTCCATCCAGCCACCCACCAGGATACTCAAACATATTCAGTTTACAAGGATATAAAACGGATACAAGCAGAAGTCATCAGTTTCCAAAATTACATTT